GAGCCTGGAGGAGCGGATCCAGGAGGAGTGCCGGTTCCTCACGGATGTGTTCAGGGATGAGCAGGGTGAGGAGCACTTCCCTCAGCAGTTGTGCTGAAGGCAGAATCCATCTTGGACCATTTTAATTTCCCCTATGCTAATGCCTAGTGAAAAATCACAGAGTCAAAGAATCATTTCAGTTGGAAAATCCTTCTAAGATCACCAAGTCCAATTCCAGCCCATTCCCAGCATGCCCACTAACCACGTCCCTCAGTGCCACATCAACGCATTTTCTAATGCCTCCATAGATGGTGACTCTGCCACCTCTGTGGGCATCCTCTTCCAATGTCTGACCACTTCTCCTAGAAATTCTACTTAATACCTCACCTACATGTATAGCAATTCAAGGCCATTATGTCTCATCCTATCATGGTTACCTAGGAGAAGTGATCAACACCAAATTCACTGCAACCTTCCTTCTCGGAGTGGAGAAGGGCAATTATTTCTCCACTGAAACTCCTACAAACTGAGCAATCTCAGTTCTCACAGCTGGCCATCAGAGTTGTGTTCCAGACCCTTTACAGCTTTGTTGTCATTCTCTGGACACACTCCAGGGCCTCAATGTCTTTCTTGAAGAGAGGGGCACAAAACTCAACCCAGCACTCAAGGGGGAGCCTCACCAGTGCCAAGAACAGTGGCATGATCACCACCCCCTCCTGCTGACTACACTACAGCTGACACGAGCTAGGATGCCCTTTGCCTTCTTGGCTACGTGGGCACACTACTGGCTCACCTTCAGTCAGCTGCCAACATTTCTCTTCATCTCACAAGCAATGCTGGTAATGTGCCAGCATCCCAGACTCCCTCTACAGGTGTTTTGCCTTCAGATTAACTGATAGATACAGCTATGTAACAGTACTCTTACCCCACCTTTGTCCTCTTGCTGAATTGGAGACCTCTAGGAAATACCATGGACCTGTCAGCACCAATGTTCACAATTAATTCCTATGGTGTTTCCTCTTCTGAGTCATTTCAGATCTTTTTTTCCCAAGCAAACAACCTTTTCCAAGAAGGTGTCCACTGAAAACCACTCATTTCATGTTGACTATTTTCCCTCTGATGATGGTGCTTTCTTCCCTTTTTTTCTGTGGAGTCAAGAAGAGAATTGATTGTTCGGTTTTCCTTCTCCAGGAAATCCTTTCAACCCTCACCTTAAAATCAACAATGCTGTTTCAAACATCATCTGCTCCGTCACCTTTGGCAATCGGTTTGAATATCATGATGAGGACTTCCAAAACTTGCTGCGGATGATGGATGAGACTGTTACCCTCCAAGGGAAGATAATGAGCCAGGTACAGCCCTCCTGCTCCAGCACAGGTGGCCTGCAGATTTGAAGAGCTGTTGTTTCTTCTCTGGAGTCAACTGCAAAAGCTTGAGCACTTTCTTAGCTTCATAGGTGATCTCAAGTTGGGAAAAATTTACCAGGGCACTCATGTCCAGTTCCTGACTCCACACAGAAATATTGAACATCAACACCTATGTCTGAGAGCGTTGCCCAATGACGCCTTGATCTCAGTTAGATCAAGGCTGTGCCCACTACCCCCAGTGCCTGTTCCATGTCCAGTGTTTCCTCTCTCTCAGCCTGACCTCCCCTCACACAGCTCCGTACCAGTCCCTTGGATCCTGTTGCTGTCACCAAAGAGCCGGGCTCAGCTCTGCTCTCTGCAACAAGGCACAGGTTGCTGTGAGGCTTCCTCTCAATTTTCTCCATGGTGCACAAAACAACAGACCTCAGCATTCTTCATACGTTTTGCTGTCTTCATAGCACTCCTTTAGAGCTCTCTGATATGTATCCTAATATATCGCAGCACCCAAAACTACACACTGCTCAAGGTGAGGCCATCAAGCACAGGGGGCTGGTGAATCACAGGAGATGTTTCCCTCTGCTCTGGGGTCATGAGATTTTCCCTGGTGCTTCCCACAGCTGTGTGGTGGCTCTCCGTTGCTGCATGTGTCCTTGCAAAGATGCCAGATGTGCTCCCCTGGATCACAAAGCCAGTCTATCCCCGGCTGGTTTTCCAGTGCTTTGGGAAGGAACTGAAAGCAGTAGAGATTTTGGGCTGTTCCCTAGGAGAGGTTATGGGAAGGAGCAAGAGCTAATGTACAAGGGGCATTTGTTGCCATTCGTCATTCCATTGAAAAGGGTACATCAGCCAGCAATTTCTGTGCAACGTTCAGTTTGCTCTCCCTCCCCCTGCATCACCACTCCCGACCACAGAGTGCCAAGCTCCCTGCTGTGACTCAGGAACTCACTAACCACTCTCACCATGGAGATATCAATCCTTTCCCATGCTCTTCTGGACAGAAGATAATTCCATCTACTCCAACAATGTAGGCTGTGCCTTTGCATGCTTTTCAAGTTCAAAGAATAGGAGGGGTTTTTCAGTCCGTTCTTGCATTTGCTCATCTCTCTTTCTTTCCAAAGCTGTACGTCTTTTTTCCGTCCGTAATAAAATACTTCCCTGGATCCCACCAAACCATTTTGAAAAATGGGAGGCTCATGAAAAGGTTTGTGTGCGAGAAGATCAACAAACATAAGGAAGACCTGAACCCCTCAGAGAGCCGAGACTTCATCGACAGCTACCTGCAGGAGATGGCCAAGGTCAGCAGTGTGGAGCAAGGCCTTCCTCAGTGGGGATTGAGATCAGGAGGGTAGAGAAACAAACCAGATCCTGAGCTGCTGGTGTGTCCATATGTGAGCTCAGGATGGACATTAGTTTTGGAGCATCCATTGGAGGGATGGGGATGCAGAAGTCCTGCAGCTTCTAGCAGAACTCCTAGAAAGGAATGGGTCTGATTTTTGAGGAAGTTCTTGCTTTTAATGTGGCACTAACACTTGATTTTCTGAAGCCCAATGGCAGTGATTTCTGCGAGGATAACCTGGTTGCATGCACTCTCGACCTGTTTTTTGCTGGGACTGAGACCACCTCCACAACCATCCGCTGGGCCCTGCTGTTTATGGCCATATACCCAGAGATTCAAGGTACAAGTAACAGCACTGCTATCCATTCCCTATTTTTAGCCCTTGTAGCTTGGTGAGAGTTTATCCTTGTTGAAAGAAAAAAGTGGAAATATTCTGTTCTCCGACAGATTTACTGCAAGTACTGGTTTTGTTTTCAAGTGTTTACCTTCAGTGTTTTAAAACTTTTCCTAATGATTTTGTTGTTCTTTCTCATGGGACAAAGAGGAAAATGTGCCCATATGCCCCACAAGCACTGGAGACCACTGTGGGCTGTCCAGTAAAGGCAAAAAGGGGCTCTGCCAAGGGCCCATTTAGTGTATGAAGTGAGAGATGAACATGCAGAGAGGTGCCACAAGTCCCCTGGTGGCACAGGATTGACCTGGGATGGTCCTTGGGGGACCCTCACAGCAAAAATGTTGTGGTGTCCCCAGGGTTTCTATGGCTTTGCTGCACCATAGCTGATCCCTGCTCTTTCCAAACAGCCCGTGTGCAAGCTGAGATTGATGCTGTTATTGGGCAGTGCCGACAGCCAGCCCTGGAGGACAGGAACAGCATGCCCTACACCAATGCTGTCATCCATGAAGTGCAGAGGAAAGGCAACATCATCCCTTTCAACGTGCCTAGAGAGGCGGTGAAAGACACAATCCTGGCTGGTTTCCGGGTGCCCAAGGTAAACCCAGTTTGGATCAGTGAGGTCTGAGCAGGAGATTTCCATCTCCCCTTTGCTGCAGGGACAGAGCTGCAGCATTGCTGCCTCTCCCAGAGGTCACTGCTGTGGATCGTGTTGTTTTGCTCACCCAATGCTGTTCTCCAGCACATTGCATTCTCAGTGCCCAGGATGAATGCCATGAGGTGCAGCATCCGGGCATAGCAGGGAGGGACAGAGCCCTGAGCATGCAGCTTTTTCTTAGATGAATTTTTAGGAATAGTTATGTTCATGAGAGAAAAGGGTGGATATATACTGATTGCATATCAAAGTAGTCCAGAAGAAGGCAAACACGGCCCATAAAAGGAGTGGGACACATCCTTGTGAGATCTGACTATGGATGCTCTTCATGGCTGGCACATGGAAGGGTAAAAATCCCCCTCATGATGACAGTGGCAGAGAGAGTGCAAAGTGATTTTCTTTCTCTTGTCTCAGGGCTCTGTTTTGATCCCAAACCTATCCTCTGTGATGTATGACAAAAAGGAATGGGAAACGCCTCACAGTTTTAACCCCGGGCATTTCCTGAAGGACGGTCAGTTCTGGAAAAGGGAGGCTTTTATGCCATTTTCTATAGGTAAGATCAGCTGCAGTTTGATGCTTTTGTGTGGAAGCACTGGGATGTGGCTTTCAGCTGCACAATGGAGAACCTGAGCTAAGCACTGATGGAAAATGCAGACACTTGCTTCGGAACAGGGAAGTGCTACTTGCCCACTGCCCTTATCAGTGCAGACAGACCCCTAGCAATGACCTCTTAGACCTTTATTCACAAACATATGAGACTACAAAAATGCCTGAGAAATGCATTCAGAAATACAAGTGCACTGTGCTGCTGGTCCCATACGACTGAGTTCAATGGGCTTTGCCACCACCACCACAGGGTGCCCTGTCCTGGCCAGCAGCTTCCTTGTGGAGAGTGATTTTAGCATCTCCAAATTTCCTGCCCTAGCATGGCACGCTTTCTCTGGTGATTTGGTTCCATTCCTTGGAGCCCAGCCAGGCACACAGGGAATGCAGCTGAAGTCCTGTTCAATCCCAGCAGGGTAGGATAAAACGTGTGCATACACATTTATATGGATGTGCCCTCATTAAGACCGTGCTACAGCTCCATGGGGGGCTCAGCTGAGATGGCAGTCCTGGTGCTGAAAATGTAAGGTGGGCACGGGGATGCAGGCAGGGTGATGTTCCTGCAGGAGCTGTGTACCAAGGTTTTTCCAGCAGAGAAAGCAGCTGGGCAGCCAGCAGGGCTGACTGGGCGCTGGGTGGCTGTCTCCGCAGGGAAGCGCGCCTGCCTGGGTGAGCTGCTGGCCCGCGCCGAGCTCTTCCTCTTCTTCACGGCTCTGCTCCAGAAATTCACCTTCCAGGCTCCCCCAGACACCATCCTCGACCTCAAATTCACACAGGGAATGACCTTGGCCCCATGGCCCTACAAGATCTGTGCAGTGCCTCGATAGGAAGCAGAGCTACTATTCTCAGAGGGAGAACTCTCAGCTTTGGCACAAGTACACAGACTGAGCTTCTGTGCACCTCTCACCTCTATCTACTTGAATTTCCCTGCTTCTTTATTGCTTACTTATTTACCCATACTGCTTTGTGGGTTACAATAAAGGTTGCAGTCTTCCTTTTCTTCCTCCTTGATGTTTTACACAAGCAGAAGATATGGTGTAGCAAATCAGGAAAGGAAGGTAAGAGACTAGCCTGGCTGAACTGGGACCTTCTAGTTGCCTTCTACAATAGTGTCACTGCATCAGTGGACAAGGGAGGAGCCACTGATGTCATCTGGCTCAACTTCAGTAAGGCCTTTGACATGGAACCCCACAACATCCTTCTCTCCAAATTGGAAAGTATGGATGTGACGGGTGGACTGCTCAATGGACGAAGAACTGGCTGCAGGATTGAGTCAGAGAGTGGTGGTCAATGGCTCAATGTCTGGATGTAGGTTGGTGACAAATGGTGTCTCCCAGGGGTCGATGCTGGGGCTGTTACTCCATCGCTGACATCGACAGTGGAATTAAGTGCATCCTCAGCAAGTTTGCTGGTGCTACCAAGCTGTCGGGTGCAGTTGACACACCAAAGGGATGGGATGCCTTTTGAAGGGATCTAGACAGGCGGAGCAGTGGGCCCAGGTGAACCTCATTCTGCGCGCAGTGGTATAAAGGCACTTCAGCTGTGCTTTCTGACACACCACCTTACTAGAGTGGGCCTCCCTCAAACCTCTGGAAGAACTGTGAAATTTTCTCCCACTGGTTCCTAGAGGGGCCTGAGAGGGTTTTGTATGTGGGGCTGGCAATATTACCTGCTCTGAGGAGTTCCCAGAAGAATGTAGGTAGAACAGTTCAGAAGATTTTCCCCGCAATCTCCTGGCCTGACAGCAAGTCTAAGCCTTTCTCTGTCCTGCTGCAGTTGACATTCTTCCCCCATCAAAACTAGTATAAAGCCTCAGGCTGCTCACTCTACCCTAGCAAGCCTCACTGCATCCCCTACCCTTTTCCTGCCTAGTGTAAAGCCCTTAAATGGAACTCAAAGGCCTGATAGCAGCCTTTCAGTATCTAAAGGGGAGCTACAGGAAACAAAAGGAGAGAAACTTCAGCAGGCCCTGTGGTGATAGCAAAAGGGGAAATGGCTTCAAGTTCAAAAAGGTCTAGATTTAGGTTAGATACAAGCAAAAAATCTTTTATAATGAGAGTGGTGAGGCACTGGAACAGCTTACACAGTGATGTTGTTGATGCCACATCCCTGCAGACTTTCAAGGCGAGGCTGGATCAGCCCTGGACAACATGACCTAGCTGTGGAGTCCCCGTGCATTGCAGGGGAATTGGACTAGATGGCCTTTAAAGGTCCCTTCCAAGTCTACAGATTCTATGATTCTAGGATAATATTCACTTTAAGAGTGGAGCATCTCACGTGAGTGCAAGGGAGCTTTTCTGAGTGCTTTGGAGTCCATGATGGAGCAGGGAATTAACTTGTTAAAGTGTAGCAGGTAAACGCAGCAGCTCCTTTTACTCACTTCCGCATCTCCGCAGCCACAGCTGCCGACCCCCAAACAGAAGCAGCCCGCACCGCCCACCG